CAGCACCACAAAATTCCAACGGATACAAATCCACCTGGAATTCACATCCCTGCATCTGTAACTTGAACCCTTTGCATACTCTGCCGCACCAGATACAGTAATCATCAGCTACATGGACGGAGAACGGGTTGGTCGGTTCAATCGCCAATCCCAGCTGCCTAGCCAGTATAGTGTTAATGAAGTTCAGAGTATTACTATTGTCAATTAACACTATGATCCGTCGACCCATAAGCCAGCCTATCACCCGCATTGTCTAGGTTGAATGTGACCCAGTGAGAGCTTGTAAGGAAATGGTTGGCACTTCCAGTTCCCCTATTTGGCCCGGTTCATCCTTGTCGTCGGTCCAGTTGTCTTCATAGTCTCCTTTAGAGTCGATTTGTAAGGTGAACACCTGATGTCACTTACATTTGTGTCCCAGGAAAAATTTCCCGTCGCAGTTGTAGCAAAGTCCCCATCACCTATGGGCTTGCATTTTTTACCAAGAGAGCCTCTTTAGTGGAATGGTTTGAGTTGGTGCCGTTGTTGCCCTGGCAGTCGAACCTTCGGGTCAACTGGGCAGAGTCTTCAAGATTGGTCCCACACCTCGAGACCGCCAATGAAGCATCCCACGAGCGCATTCTCCGGCCAGCCATACACTCTCATTGGCAGTCACTCAAACACAACCTAGTATTCCCGTACAATGCCAACTTGTCTCAGCTTTGATAGGGCTTCATCAAAATGTTCGAAAGACGACGGTCCAAAGCGGACACAGAGGGCTTCCGAAAATTCTTTCCATTGGAACCAATTGATTGCCTCTCCTTCTAAGTACACTGAAGCGATCAACACTCTCTGGTGGCTCGCGATCTCCTAGATATCGAAGTATCGCTCTGCTCTGTAGATCAAAAATAGAGGATCTTCTCCACTAAAAGCAAGGAAGTCCACTCTAATTTGCTGGTGATTATTTCCGTCGAATCGGTGAGCACTGTCGTGATTGAAACTCTCGTAATCATTTTCTTTGTTGCTTGGGGATGCATTTATCTTCTTACACTATGACATCACTGCTGAGATCGCTTCCTTGATCTCTCGCAGGTCGCCGAAGAATTTGTGCAGATCGACCTCAATTCGATCCACTCTCTCTTCCACTAACGCTGATCTGGTCTGCAGCATGGAGAATCAATTCACCAGATGTAGTCATTGGCTCTAATACCAGAATTGATGAGAACCTGCTCACCACAGGAGTCTTCTTCGAGGGAGATTTTGCCTCCTAAAATAAGAAATAGAGAGAGAGAGAGAAGAAAAGAGAGAAATCCGAGAAATGGCTCGATGCCTTTATGCCATGGGCTATTTATAGATGTCAATTACCCCCCTTATTAGCCATAATGGGCCATCTTGCGAGGTCCCCGAGTATACACTTGTTTAATGGGCCTAAATGGGCTATTCGCAGTTCTATCTTTATCAGCAGCTCCATGAAACTCCCACAATACAGCTTTTTTCGAAAATCATCTTAAGATTGAAAATTAGCTCAAAAAGTTGTACTATCAACTTGAGATCCCTAACCCAATTTCTATTTCCTCCTTCACAAAAAAAAAAAAAAAAAAGTAAAGTATCATCTACAAACTGCAAATGTGTAATTGGAACACTGCCCCGCCCAACCTTCTAGCCCCTCACCAACTCATGTTAGTCTACCCTAGCAATAAGCATTCCAAGAACCTCAACATCATAGTGAAAAGAAAGGGAGATAGGGGGTCTCCTTCTCTAATCCCTCTTAAGGTTTGGAAGAAGTCCACCATAGTTCCATTCACCAATAAGGAGTAATGATAGGTCTTAACACATCCTCTTATCTATTTATATTATCTCTCCCCAAATCTAAATTCCTCAAAACTCCCAACAAAAAGGACCAATCCACCATATCATAAGCTTTCTCCAAATTCAACTTACAAACAAAGCCTTTCCTCCCAAATCTTTTGAAATCCTCCACACATTCATTAGTAATTAGGATTTAGTCAGTGATTTGCCTACCCCTTACAAAAGCAGCCTAATTTGGAGAGATAACAAGAGAGAGAGCAACTCTGATCCTCAAAGATAGGACCTTAGCTATAATTTTATAAAGACTGGTTACCAAGCTAATGGGTCTAAACTCACAAGGATGTGCTGAATCACTTTTCTTTGGCACCAAAGCAATGAAGGTCGAATTGAGGCCTAGATTAATTACTCCTCTTTCATAATACTCCTCAAACACTCCTAGCAAATCTTCTTCCAAAATGTCCTAGCAATCTTGGCAAAATGCCATTGTGAAACCATCTGGTCCTAGAGCTTTGCATTTATCCATGGAGTAGACAGCCTCCCTAATTTACCCTGCTCAAATCTTCTCTCCAAACAGTTCTTCATTTCATCCAGGATCGTCAGCAATCAAGCCCCTCAAGCCAAACTCTTTCCCTCAAAGGTCTTCTGTAGATTGATCTAAAATGTTCTTTAAAAGGCCCCTGCTATCTCATTCTGATGTGTTAAAGAAACCCCATCAACTACTAATATTGAGATATTATTCCTTCTCTTCCTTCCAACAGTCAAAGCATGAAAAATTTTGGTATTTCTGTCCCCTTCCTTAATCCACTTATGCCTTGATTTCTGCCTCCAACTTATTTCCTCCTTGTGAAGAATCCAGTTGCTTCGTCAAGGACTTCCTTGTTTCTTTATCTCTTTCCTCAAAGGAAACCCTCTCCAAACAGTTCTTCATTTCATCCAGGATCATCAGCAATCAAGCCCCTCAAGCCAAACTCTTTCCCTCAAAGGTCTTCTGTAGATTGATCTAAAATGTTCTTTAAAAGGCCCCTGCTATCTCATTCTGATGTGTTAAAGAAACCCCATCAACTACTAATATCGAGATATTTATTATTCCTTCTCTTCCTTCCAACAGTCAAAGCATGAAAAAATTTGGTATTTCTGTCCCCTTCCTTAATCCACTTATGCCTTGATTTCAGCCTCCAACTTATTTCCTCTTTGTGGAGAATCCAGTTGCTTCGTCAAGGACTTCCTTGTTTCTTTCTCTCTTTCCTCAAAGGAAACCCTCTCCTCCTTTTTATCTAATTCCTCAATTTGGTGAATCAAAGATTGCTTCTTCTCTTCAATCCTCCCGAACTCCAAAGTGTTCTACTCCTTGATTCTGGATTTTAAATCTTGCAACTACTTGTGAAATCTTATCTCTTCCCATTCAGCTCTTGGGTTGCTCTCCCCCACCACTCGAATCTTTTGAATGAAACCCAGATGGCACAGCCACATGTTCTCAAACCAAAAGGGAGCTGGTCCTTTTCCAACAAGATCCTCCTTACAAATGGAGAAAGGCCATGTGATACAAGGTAAGCCTAGGCAGAGTTCTAGACACTAAATCAACCGAATGTTCCACCCAATTCACTGGGAAAAGAAATCTATCTAGTTTATACCAAATTGGGCTGGCTTGGAGATTGGACCAGGTGTAACTACTATGAAGAAGAGGTAACTCTCTAAGCTCAAACACATAAATAAATTGATTGAATCTTCTCGTATCTGTTGTAATACCTTTACTCTTATTATTTATTTCTTCAATGAACCTGATCACATTAAAATCTCCACCAATACACCAAAGGTCCATCCCACAGCCCTCTTATATCTCCCAATCCCTCCCCCATTTCATTCCTCTCCCTATAACCATTCGGACCATACAAATTTGTTAATACCCATTCAAAGCCATCCTCCACTTGCCGAAATTTCACAGATACTGTAAACTTGCCCACAACCAAGCTTTGGTCAAGGATTACGGCTTAATTCGTGTGTGAACACCACGAAAGACTTCTGCACTTGTGGAAGCCAGGTTTTTACAGATATGAGCATATTTTGGCATGATTAATTAAACAAATTGGTTAGGAACTACCGTGTAGGAATTTTTCCTAGGAAAGATAATTTCTCTCTTGTGAAGAGCAAATTGAATTAAATGAATCAAATTTTAACAAAATTCAAACCTTTAATGGACAAGCTGTTAGGACAATACTGCAAACCATTTTTGAAGCCTTGCATATCTTATTCCTTCCCTGTTATTTTTTCTCAAACATTTAATTGCCATTCATCCAGGAAAAAATTACTGAAATGGAAGGGATAAAGAAGCATGAGATCAAGGATTATGGCCTAATTCGTGTGTCAACACCATGGAGGATTTCTGCACTTGTGGAAGCCAGGTTTTTACAGATATGAGAATATTTTGGCTTGATTAATTAAACAAATAGGTTAGGGACTACTGTGTAGGAATCTTTCCTAGGAAAGAAATTCTCTCTCTTGTGAAGAGCAAATTTAACTAAATGAATCAAATTTTAACAAAATTCAAACCTTCCCTGTTATTTCCTAAATTACCTTTAAATGGACAAGCTGCTAGGACAATACTTTAATATTACTCCTAACCATTTTTGAAGCCTTGCATATCTTATTCCTTCCCTGTTATTTTTTCTCAAACACTTAATTGTCATTCATCCAGGAAAAAATTACTGAAATGGAAAGGATAAAGAAACATGAGATCTTGCTAAAGGAATAAAAGAAGCAACTGAGAGGGCTGAATTTGCTTGAAAATACACAAAATTGAAAGAAAAATAAAAAATAAAAAGAAAGAAAATGAACGAAGGTTTGTATTTCCTTAAAGATGTTTGATTCACAAGAAAAGAAATTCTTTAAAAACTTGGCTGTTAGTTGGCCATATCCAGTCTACCCCTCTCAAGGCCCCAGATGGTTGGGAGCAAGTCCACCAATGACCATCTCTAACCAGCTAAACTTTTGTTCTAAGACTTTCCTGATAAACTTTGAAATTTTTCTCACATTTTCTGAGCAACCAAACATAGCCTAAAGAAAATCAGATATTCTCCCAGGCTGGCCATTCACCTGTCTTGTATAATGAAAAAGAAACTAAATTTTCAATATAACATCAAAAGAATGTCAATCCCCAAAAACAAGCATTGAAATACTAAATATACCAGTTAAAAGTTAAAACAGTTTGGAATTCTTACCTGCACAAATGTAGAAACTGAGAGAAGAGGTTTCTCTCCGACCTTCTGATGCCTTGCCTGCAGGGTTATTCAAAATCATAACAATATAAGCATCATACCTAGATTCCTAGAATATCAATAGATGCAAAAGGCAAAGTGTTTATTCAGTTAAGGCAGAATCATGACCCACTCCTAGATAATTTTCAGCACATTAATGAGGAACCAAAAAGTTTAGGAAATCCCACTCCCAACCATAAGCACACACATAGACAAGAATAAAATAAACACATTAGAAATACGTACATAACATACATCTGATGTGTATAAACATCTACTATTAAATCCACCGAATCATTTTAGAAACCAATTCATTAATGAATATCAAATTAACAGAGTAATCCCTAAAATTTCCATGTTATAGTTTACTGATAATTCATATTTTATGTGATGCATCCAAGGAATAGATAGCTATGCTTGGTCATGTGGAGTGTACTTCATGCAGTATTATGGGGGTCTAGGAGGAAAGGCCTACATGGTAGTCAACAATAAAGATAGCTCTCTTTAGAGAGCAAAAGAGATGATCAGTTCACCATCCAAGTTTGGCTGGATCTCTAGCAAGGACATGGATAACTAGAAATGAATTACTTTGGGGGACACCAGATGTGGGGTGAGGTTGCTATTCTGATTTATGTTTAAGTGATGTGCAGGATGGCCAGCCTTGGTTAAGTTTTTCTGCTGCATCTACATTGCATCTCATCTGAATGTTGGGTTATGTTTTTCCTGTGCTAATAAAATAATGTGATTTACTGTTGCCGATCAAAAAACCATCCAATTTATCCATTGAGTATTGACTCAATTTGTTCCTGAAGTAGATATATCTCCATTATTCTTCTGAATTCTGATTTTACCCAATTCATGATCATCCATGAAGAAAATTGGTAGGGAATCATAAAAAAGCAGAAAAGAACACCAGTATAAACTGCTAAATGAAAAAGAAATTAATATTACCTGAAACAAGAGCATAATGATTGCAAATAAAACCTTTGCAGCCTCTGTTAAAAAGTTAACACTGATAGGACTAAACTTGAAACTTCCATCCACTTTAGACATATAAACCAAAATAGGCTGCACAAGAACCACAACAACAATATTAATTGCTCTAAAGTGTATAAATAAGAGTTATTGGCAGCAAGATCAAGTTGTTGTGCACATAAACATAATACCAGAAAAGTCTACTAGCGCTTCTAAAATAATTTTTTTTGTATACAAAAATAATTTTGTGATCTACAGCATGACTGGTGAATTTTCCAAGTTAACCGGAAGGACAAGTTGCACAAAGTAAAACTTGGAAAAGCCAATCATTAACAATAATTGACCCACTGAGGATTTTTTTTAGAATAGCCCAAATTGTTGTCCGAATAAAATACAATTTACACAGACAGTAGGATCTTGAAAAACGAGTTTTAGAGCTATCCTCTCCCCAATGTAAGATAAAAAAAATGGGTAGACTAGCAAAAGAAAAGTTCATGTCGGTCATGGTTTACTCTATTATCTTTAATGGGAAAATAAGATGAAAAGACAATCACCTGTAGACCGACCAAGATGCAATCCCCAACAACCAAAAAGACATTGAGGGCACGGTACTTTGATGATATCTTGCTCCTGTGCCGGTCATATGCCCTTGACACGGTCCTTGTGGTTGGGGAGACCAATTTGGCGTGGCAGACACTGCATTCTATCATCCCGTTCTTCATTTGCCGAAGTCTCGAAGTTTCAAGAAGTATTAAAATTGTATCTACAATGCACGAAGGTGGACAGGTAGAACTAGAGCATCAGCACTAGGTGAACCCTAAAAACATCTTTGTAAAGAGGAAACCACCCAAATAACCTACATTTGGAAAGTTGAAATCAACCACCATTAGAAAGTCACGCCCCACAGACTATAGTTTCTTTTAACAATTTATGGAGTACATGCTTTACAGAATTAGATCTGTTTGAATTAGATAAATTAGTAGTTTCAGAAAGCTATTAGATAAAACCACAACTCCAAAAGCCTACATGTCCAGTAAGCTGCGTCCAATTGAAACATACCTCCACTGCCACAACCAAAATTCAACAAGATCTTGTCGTCAAAACAAAATATCTCGATATGCGAATCAAATAATCATATAATCCTCAAGATTTTCCTGGAAATCAAAAGATCAAATCCAAAAGGTCAAGACTTCAGTTACAAAACCGAGATCTTGCAAATTCCGAAGACAAAATTGAGCTTCCTCAACAGATTCAAAAAACTAGATGCCTAGACAGGTACAATCAAATCAAAACTCCTTTAAGCACTAAAAAAAATCTCTGTCGGCATGCCCCAACCCACAATCCAAGCACCAAACAGCCGACATTCACAGCCTCCCAGTGAGATTCAAATACCTGGGGCCATGAATTCACCAAACATCGATACGATTCGAGGAATTGGCCCGGCAAAAAAGGGACAATTCTTCGATCTGGTCCAAAACTCAAACAAAGAGAAATAACCGGTTTGGGTACTCAGGTTCAGCTATGGAGATCCAGAGATGCGAAGAATCTGCAGAGAGGGCGTTTGAGCAGTATAATAAGCCGAAACGTTTGCTTCCAGTTCCTCTTTGTATCTTTTTATTCTTGCTTCAATTTTGGAATCCAGTGTTCTTGCGCGTTTTGCATTTGGAGGGCAGATTGTATATATCTTTTTGCATTTTTCCCGTGTTTATAATTTGTAATAGTCTATTCTTGTCCCTGAAATGCCCCATATTTTCTATTGGATTTACTAATGAATCCTATAAAATTCCTTTAATCATATTTATTTTTCAATAAATGAATAATATTGATTTATTTTTATTTCTTTTGAAGAATTACACAACTGGGAGACCTTACCAACCAGTTGGTTGGCACTTTGCAATTAATAATGCTTGATTCGTGATATATGAATATCAGTTTAATTTTTTTGGCGATTGGATTATACCGTTGGTTATTAATTTCTTAAAGGTATGGTACCTTTTCGCTATCATAGTCGGATTATGGGCCTATGGGGTTTTCAGATGCTAGTCTTGTGGCCTTGATACCTGTTCTCCTAACTTCAATAGGACCCTTCCTGGTGGCGGGTCCTAATCCTTCCACCAAAACAAAAAAAAAATCCTTCCTTCTACAGTAAAAACGTCATTTGGTAAGTTAATTCCTTCGATAAATCCTTCTCGAGTCTTTTGACCTATAGGGATGCATATGGGTCGAATCTAATTCAAAGTTTGATTCTATTTTTGTCGGATTAGTATATCTTATTTTGGATCTTCAGATCGGCTAGATGAATCGGATCTCATTAGATATTGGATTGGATTTGGATTACCCTTATTCAATTTAAAAGGATTTGTTATTTATATTGTATTTTTATAACTTTTTTATATTACTAGTAAACATGTACATACATATGCACATGATAATATCTCAAAGATAAAACTATTTATAATTCATGGACGATTTTTTAACGGTTATAAGTGGACAATTTTTTAACAGTTATAAGTGGGTAGTTTCTTAACTGTTATAAGTTGACAGTTTTTTGAGTGAAAATAAATGACATATATGCCATTTTTTATGCCCGTTGTATGTTGCTTATATAAGGGGTACAAATTTATAATGAAAAGTCCAAAAAATGGGGTAATTCTCTCTTTTATGAGTAGTATAAATGGGTAAAATATAAAAACCTTCCCTAAAATTTTTGATAATAATAAAAACCTCCTCTTTAGTTTCAGTTTAACGAACAGTTCCCCTGAACTTTTAAAAAAGTCAACAAAAACCTCCCTTCCATCATTACTCCCTATAGAAAATGTATAAAATTACAAAATTACCCCTGACTAAATCGTTAGGGCATTTTTTAAGCTTCTTGCATTGGAACCTTTGGAGTTACAAACCAACACCACTCATCCGCATGTATGGTCTAAGACTATTACTTATTGATATTGAAACAGATAGATGAGGTATGAATAAAAGGCGAGAGAGACGGAGAGAGAGTTTCAGAATTTGGACGAACACAGAATGATCGATGAAAAAGCTGCAACACTAGGCTCATGCAAATGAAAGTTCAAAGAACTAAACTAACTAAACCAAAGGAAGAATCACGCTCTCAGTTAAAGAAACTCAATTCCCAATTTGTTAGAAGCAAATCATCCATCATCAAGTACATATGCTAAAAGAATATATAGAACGAATTATCATCTTTTCAACATCATCAGGATCATCTCTAAAAAGAACATTGTAACTATCTCAAACTCAAAGAAGTTTTCTCTTCACAGTGTACCCGTACTTGTAGATGTTATCTTGGTGTTTGTTGTAAACAAAACCCAAGAAGCTAAATATACAAGCGCCAATGATGAGTCCGATGGCTATTCTGGCCTTGTTTTAATTTTATAGTTGCAACTGCATGCATTGACTATAAAAAGGTGTTGATTGGTGGGTCGTGAATCTTCTCATCAACAAATCATCTCCTCTCCTAGTCCTAGTTAATCTTTGGCCTATGGTTGAGATTTGGGCTCTCAACCACTCCTCTCTCATCGACACACAACATGGCTTCCTATGTCCTGTCCCTATAGCTTTTCTGGCACGATTGTGATTGGTTTTATCATTGGTTTGATATATCTAATAACATGAGTGTAGCATGGTAATAATTTGTAGTGGTGTGGTTCTTATTGCAAGCAAACCAATGAATGCAGGGTGTTGCCTTCCCAATACCGGCCAACCTGAACTTGACTTCCTTGTGAAAGGCCTCCAGCTGCCTTATTTTAGTGATGGGAAGGCTTTTACATAGTGCAATATGAGCCCATTAAATCTTGATGAGATTGGTTTGCACTTTACATATCACATGCTCTTGAAGTTCAAACTACGTTTATATATGATCTCATGACTGGATCTTTAATGAGTTAATCTAGCTCGTTGTAGCCATTAGCATCCTTTTCAAGGAATTTCTTACTAGACTGTACACATATAGAGTTCTCACCATGATTATATTCTCTTGTTGATCCAATGTAGCACTCGGACTTAAAGGGCTTGTATAGCTACTAGCCTAACATCAAATACCCAAGTAGTGAGAGTCGCCACCTATGGAAAATGCATGGAAAACATATGGTGTTTGCTTTGGCCCCAATGAACACAACTATTTCAGCAAGGCATTGAATCTTCGAGCAAAGATGGACATGCTCTCAGTATTTAAGAGAAGTGGTAATTAATTAAGCTCTTTTGTTTAGAATATTTTTGTAATCAGGATGTCAAATTATCCAAATTGGTCCTCTGTTTCTTCAGTCCTAGAGGCTAGAGTTTATCTGTCCAAAGTGAAGAGAAGTTCACATGTATACTATTAGTACTCCATACTAATTAATTAATCCTCAATGTGGGTGCTTGTGTTCAAGGGAACTGACATCCAGTAAAGAAGCCATGATAAAAGGTGCAAGTGACAGAACCTTGTTGGTGGCAGGGAAAGAAGTATGGGAAAAGGGAGTCGGGTTTTCGGTGTCAAGTGCAGGAGCCGGTGAGACTTGAGGAGGATCTAGAGAAATAGTGAAATCAACAAAAAGCAACAGTAGGAGAACAGAGATAGAGAACACACTAGCCTCTCGCCATGGTCTAGGGCCTCCCACCACAAAGAAAGATGAAAGAGGACAAAAGAGATCGAAGGAGGTTTTTGTTGAGTTTCAAACAGGGGTATTTTAATACAAATGTATGTAAAATAATTTACAAAAGGGTAAAATGGGTATTTAAAAAAACTAATGCTTCAGGTTAATGCTTTCCATTTGGACTAGTGATGGAAGGGAGGTATTTATCAATTTTTTTGAAAGTTCAGGGGAGGTATATAGTAAATTGAAACTAAATGGAAGGTTTTTATGATTGTCATAAACTTTAGGGGAGGTTTTTGTATTTTACCCTTATATTATTTATTTTTTGTAAAAAACATGTATATATCTATACTACTTTAAAAGCACAAATAGCCTCAATAATATTTTTGGAATTTTTGAGGATAACATTTACCCCTCTATATTTAAATTGTTGATAAAAAATAAGGGCAAATAGGATAATTTGTAATTGACATTAAATGAGTTAAAAAGAGGTAATTTTAAGATATTTAATGCATTCAATCCTCTCTCATTAAATCCAATCTATACTACTTTAAAAAAGCATGAATAACCTCAATAATATTTTTGAAATTTTTCGATGACAACATTTACCCCTCTATATTTAAATTTATTAATTAAAAATAAGGGCAAATAGGGTAATTACTACTTTAAAAAACACGAATAGCCTCAATAATATTTATGAAATTTTCTAAGGACAACATTTACCCCTCTATATTTAAATGTATTGGTAAAAATGAGGACAAATAGGATAATTTGTAATTGATATTAAATGAGTTGAAAAGAGGTAATTTTAAGATATTAATTTATTCAATCCCCTCTCATTAAATCCAATATGCTCTACTTTAAAAGTGCATGAATAACCTCAATAATATTTCTGAAATTTTCTGATGACAACATTTACCCCTCTGTATTTAAATTAATTGATAAAAAATGAGGGCAAATAGGGTAATTTATAATTGATATTAAATGAATTGAAAAGAGGTAATTTTAAGATATTTAATGCATTCAATCCCCTCTTATTAAATCCAACATTTAGGCTATGTTTGGTTTGAAGGAAATAGTAGGGAAAGGTAGGGAAACCTATACAAGGTTTGTAAAGGTTTGCCTACCTTTCCCTACTTTTGCCTTCAAACCAAACACAACCTTATGGTATTAACTTGCATTCACCTTCATTTAATTAATCGTATATTTAGGTTGTGTTTGGTTTAAAGGAAAAAGTAGGGAAAGGAAGAGAAATGTAAGGAGACCTTTACAAACCTTGTATAGGTTTCCTTACCTTTCCCTTCCTTTCCTTACCTTTTTCCCTCAAACCAAACATAGCCTTAAGGCATTTTTGTTTTTTCTCATCATTAAATTCTATTAATTAAAGTAATACATAATAAACCAATAATTCCAATAACATAAAAACTTATACTTTTAAAATCTACCTCAAAAAATAGTGTTTTCGTCTAAGTGATCGTAAGAAATTAAACCACTTTTAGTCAAATGGATCAATCCATGTTGTCACAATTAAATAATAGATAAAATAAAAAAAATGGAAACATTTTTAACATCATATATTCAACATATTAAACAATAATAAGTATGATAAATAATAAATGTTTTATTAATGATGGAAATTGAATGTAAAATTTAAAACCAATTGGAAATAAAACTATTTTCTTATTCTCCCTCATTAAATCTCATATCTAAGGTATATAATTTCATTAAATCATATATTTAAGATATATTTTTCTTATCATTAAATTAAACTAATTAAATCTACAATATTAATTTTAGTTTTATAAAAATAAATATTTTGAGAAGTAATTTAAAAACAAAACATTTTATTCCCTCCCAGTGGTGGGTAAGCAATTCAAGTATTCAATAATTTTGGTTCAAATGGGTTAATAAATAATATCGTAATTAAATAATAAAATAAATAAAATATATAATACAAAAAGAATAATTAGGCATATCACCAATATTGTATATTCATTATAGTAAACAAAAATAAGTATGAAATGTAAGAAATATTTTTATTAATGATGAAAATGGAATGCCAAATTTAAAATCAAC